TTATCCCTCCTTCTGCAATGTTGCTGTCTGTTAATTATTCATGGTAATCTTGGTCTTCTATTTCATATGCCTGCAGACCATTTTTAGTTTTAGCTAAAACCCTTAAGTCAGATGTAGAAATATTGCTTAGGTGAACACTAACTCAGGTGTGGCAATGACTGACAATGAAGTGTTGACTAAACTATCAAGATGGTCAAGGTTACATTTTGTTTAACAAATCTGAATAAGATGTACAATTAATTATAATGACTACAAGACTAATAAAACATAATTTTTGGACTATTTTGGCCTAGCTCATCTTGTTTTTTAAACTTAATATATAAGCTTGCATATTAGTATATGTTCTAAAAATGTTATATTTGTTTTTGCTTTAATATAGTACTGGGTCTGCAGCATATTAGTAAATCTTTTAGTTTCTCTTTAACTGGAAAAAAATAGCTGTTGTGTTCAAAGTGATGCTGCACCACCCTTTTCAAAATCCTAGATCTGCCTATCGCTGTATATATACCTAAATACTAGTTATTCGTTTCATACAAACCATTAGCTTATGGACAACAATGTCTTTCACCTATGTAAGTCACTGAAAGCAACAACAACAAGGCGGTCCCTCCTAGTTCAGTTTATAATCTGGACTCCATTCTACAGTCTTAGTACACTGTCATCACTTACATTTCTCAGCTATACGCTCTTTATGGTTTACCACTCACAGTATTTTTTTTCCTTTCTTCCAAGGAAACTGACCCATTTGTTTTCATTGCGTGATGCCATCAGGCAGACTGACCCATTTAAAATGGTTCAGACTGAGATTTAGCAGACATTAACGTGATTTTGAAAAAACAAAAGGAAGAAACATTTAAAAGAGAACCATCTGCCAAAGCTGGGCAGTATTTCATGATGGCACAGGCCCAAGGATCAGTCTGCAATATAAACTACGTGTGTGGATAGAAAACAACACAAAAGCACACTCAAATTTGGAAATTAAAAAAAAAATACACAACCAAGGACAAATTAAACAATAGCTCAGAGTTGATTTCATCCCAGTCCAGCTGCTCAGATATGATTACCGGTTTCCCTCACCAACCATGGTTTTGCCAACCACAGTTTTTGAGTATCCACACTTAATATTCTATATACCATTTTGGCTACCATGGAATACAGTGTGGAGTAACCACGGTTTTCCATGGCCACACATGAGCTTGCCACCTGCCATTTCAAATCACCCACGCTCTTGCTAGCCACCTGTGGCAATCTCATCTCCTCACAGACACTCAGTCTTGCATCATGCTTCACACTGTTAACCATCCAGTTGCAGGTACTCTGCATTTTTCTTCCAATTTCTTTGAGATTTTTGCATTTTGTCCTTAATCATGGCCTCTAAGCAAGTGAATGGTGAAGGTGAGCAATTTGTGAAGAGGGCAAGAAAAGTGATGTCCTTGGAAACAGAAGGAGTTGTTGGATCATCTAGCACATGTAGAGAGTGTGGCGAATATAAACAATGATTTTTATACATTGTATGTTCCTTTATTATTCATATTCAAGTCCCTAACCCTATTTTTCCCATAAGCCTTTTGTCTTACCAACCACAGTTTTGCCAACCATGGAAACTTTCAGGAACCTAACCCCCTCAGTTGGTGAGGGAAACCTGTAAATATGTAACAAAGTCTATCTGCAGTTGTTTTCTTTAACTCCTCCCTTTCCCCAAACAGATGCAAAAGGAGTTGTGCACCGAGGTAGTGAATGAAGTAGACACAGCCATCATCATCCAGCACTGAACCGAGGGAGAACAAGAAACCAGGGTTGGAGCACTTGTCACCCTGCAGTAGGAGAAGTCACAAGATGAGCTCTTTGAGTTTCAGCAGAAGATGAAGAATGATGCCTATCAGATCCCAAGGCTGTAGTTGTGGAAGATAATGAAAGGCTGATTCAGCTAATGAGATGACTGCGTCGGTCAAATACAGGCCACACAAAGAAATATGAGAAACAGAAGCTGAAGTCAGGGACTTCCTCTTTTTATTGCATGTGTAATTTTATAAAAAGAACTACCTAGATTTAATAACCTTTTGCCATACAGGAAATAGAAGACTTCCCCACAATCATATTATATGCTCACAATGCCCCCTACTGTCAAATAAAGCACAGAGAAGACATTTCTATTAACCTGGAGCCACTTGGTTTTTCCACCAATGAAGCAATTTCCTCTCTCTGTTTCCTGGTATTTCTCAACAGTTCTAATGACTTCCCTCCAGTCTTCCAAACATTTGTTTCCAAGTCAGTACTGTTTCACCAGCTTTGAGAGTTAGAATTATTCATCCATCTTCCAATTCACACCATAGATAGCTTGACACCTCTTCCAAATTTTTAATGCCAATTTCAAGTCACCTAAATGCAACTAACAGTATTCAATGTTCTATCAAACAATGATCAACTGTGTTTCACCCATGTAGAAATCCTTTCCTGTTCTAAGTGCCTAAATCAAAAGAGCCATGATCTCAGAATGGACTTTAGGCACAACCATAACACAAACAAACAACAGTAAACTCCACACACAGACTTTAATAGGAAACCAATACTCACTCCCAATCCATATGGCTTCTTACAATAAGGCCATGTTTGGTTTCACTATGAGCAGTTCACCAGGAAGAAGTGACCGTGTTTGCATATGGCTGCAAGAACCAGACTCGAACACAAGACTGTGGTAAGAAGAGTCACTGCACATACTAAGGAACTGTGTTGCTTGAGTCCTACTGGAACCTGCAGAATCAGTTCCTTATTTACCTATGAAGAGACAGGTGGGTGTTAAACCTATATAACCATTACATTTTAACTGCTTTATATTTTCATTGGGTGTTATTTAAACAAGCTTCATACTTGTTCATTCCATGCTTCTGAACAACCTCTGCTTCATTTAACAGCTCTGCTTGCTCAGGTTCTGTCTCTAGTCATTTCAAAGATTTTGCCTCTCCCCTGGTATTGAAATCCAGAAAGCAAACCTGAGAAGAAGGCTGTTTCCCTACTTGCAGAGGTGCTCCCCAAGAATCCCCCAGCAAGGGATCCCCTGGACACACATATCATGCTGCCACATCCCAACTTGAAACAATGGGCAACATCTGTGTCACCCAATAAAGCAAGACAGTTGTGTCAGGATGCATCTCAGTACAGCTGATCCCACTCCAAGGACAATGTCTGTTTAGAGCCTAAAGGAATAAGCTTATGGAATGAAAGCTCAGCTATCAGAGACCTGTAAAGAAAAAAGAAAGGAAGGCGTGTTCCTTTTTTCACTTTTTATGATACAGGAGAGCCTGAAAGACCTTTTATCAAGAACTGTAATCATTTAACACATGCTAAGAAGTCTTCCAACAAAACCAAAGAGCAAAGTTGGGCATTCCTATTATTTCCCTGTTAAAAAGGGAAAGACTTCTTTCCCAAATAAAGTACAAGCCATAAAAAGATGCAAACTCTTTACCTTCTTCAAATTCTTTACCAATCACAGCCAGATTTCCTGAATGCAACAAGTGTTTAAATCAGTGGTGCTCAACCTTTTGGCCCACAGGCCAGATGAATGGGTCAGAGCTGGTATGCATGCCAGATGCAGCCCCACAGACACTGCCCCTCTGAGACTGGACCCCAGAGGGCCTGGCAACACCCCTTCCTGCTTGGATGGGACCCTGGGGGCCTCAGCACTGCCCCCTTCCAGCCTGGCACACTAAGATTGAGCCCGAGAGAGCCTGGTACCATCCCCTTCCACTGGGGTTGGGCCCCAGAAGCCTTGGCACCCTCCCCTCCCACTCCCACATGCCAGGATGGGGCCCTGGCACTGCCCCCTCCAGCTGTCATCTGCCAGGATTGGACCCCATAGGCCTGGTGCCTCCTCCTCCTAGCCCCTGCACTGGGATTGGGCCCCAGGGCCCAATGGCAGTCCTGCACATTGGGATTGGGCACCTGATTCAATATGCAGGGTCTGGGGCTCCCCATGGGTCTGAAAACTTGGCAGCAAGGGAGCAGTGCTATTGCTCCCCCACTGCCAAATTTCTGTGGGGAACCTCACACACCAGATGACATGGTGCCATGGGCAGATCTGCCCTGCAGGCTAGGGGCTGAACAGCCCTGGTTTAAATTACTTATCAGGATTTGTCTCAGTTCACATTTTCTACAGTACTCCAGCCCTGCTGAGTCTCAAAGTTCCAGGTGGCTACAGCTCATATCTAGACCTTGATATAAAGAGAAATACATCATCCTCAGCGACATAGTTTATAGGAAGATATCCACATAGGCGTGTATGGCTTTTCTCAGAGGTCATTTTCCCTGCAGTTGTTCAGACAAGGCATCAACCCAAGCACATTCACTATCTCCTACTCATTCCTCAAGCTATTAGCAAAATCTTCATGCACACCAACAATTGTTGCATCCTTGGCTCCAAGTAAAGCACCACTAAAGCATCAGCAACAGTGACAGATTCCAACAAAGGATTCAGCACAAAGTCACTGAAATATGTATATATACACGTGGCAATGATCACCAAGGAAGAGTGAAGGGAAGTCTCCAGGCATTACAGCAAGTTGGGCATGAGTGGACTTCAACCCTCATCCCAACTCCACTGTTACCAGGAGTCAAAAATATACTAGACACTACTCAGAACATGTCAGCAGGTGAAATGAAGGGAGAACAGTTATCTTCCCTGCTTGGTGCAGGGGGCTGGACCTGATGATTTTCCAAGGACCCTTCCGGCCTTACAATTTATGAATCTATGAACCACGGAACTACATAATAAATATGAACTCACAGGCTTATACTTCACATTGTTCCAATGACAAGTGGACTCAGTTCTCACTGAACAGGGGGCTTCTACTTCAGAATGCCTCCAACACTTCATTGGTGGGAAACCTAAGAAAAGCAGAAATATGCAACATCAAGAATCTGACTGAGGAGGAGCAACACACTGTGCAAGTTCCATTCCCATGGGACTTTCATTTATCACAACAGCTTGGTAAACCTTATTCACTAAAAGCCAAGGGAAAGAATATTACACGAAGGTCACTGACCAAACTGTACTGGGAAACCTGCAGATTCAAATGAGTACTGTCAGGTCACCCTTGTGAATCCTAAGGCTCAGCATATTGGAAAGGAGGAACATAAGCAAATGTTACTTTATTTTAATACATACCATATGCCCCCAAATAAAACACACACCTTGTTTTTGTGGTAAGGCTGAATTAAGGAAAAAAAGATTTTTCCAGAGTTATGACCACATAGCAGAAGGACAGAGCGAGCCTCTTCTTCATCTCACCCACCCTCCCTTTTCTACTCAGGCAAAAAACCCTACAGTTTTAACCCTTTCACAGCTGAAATGTCAGTTGCTTAGCTGCTCAGCTGAAACTGTAGCTGTTGCTGAACTCCAAACTCCACGGATAGATATAGGATTTTGAATAAAAACAAAAACAGTCTGCAGGGCTGTGAAATAGGAGGAAAAAAAGACTACAAGTAGGTAACAGACAGCAAAATTGCTGAATCAAGCTAGCCTTAAAAGCAAGAGGATCGTTAACATTTACACTGTTAAGTGAAAAGCAGTTAGGAATCAGGTGAAGCAGGAATCAAGCTTTGGGTGGAGTAAGGATCAAAGCAAAGTGCAACCAACCACTGCACCCTCTCTCAATTTGCCCCTGCTGGACTCCATCCCTCCACCTCCATGCAGCTGCTGCAGACAGGAGAAAGAAAAAAAAGCATCAGCCATTTTATAGCATCACCATGTTTCTATTTGGGACAGAAAAATCTGCATCCCCACTTAAGACACACCTCAACTTTGGAAGGTTAATTTTTGAGGGAAAGGTGCATGTGTATGGAAGTACATATGGTAATTCAGTTTCCCTTTGTGTAGATTTTGCCAGGCCCTGCATCAGTTGCCATGCAAGGGCCCTTGTACATGTGATAAAATGCCCCTGTACAGGTAAGGAAATTGCCCCTTTCCGTGGTTTAATTGCCCTTTTTAACAATTTAATTGCAGAACTGCCTACACGTTCGGCAGCATGTTATGACTGAATTCCATAACAGCATACACCTTCTGCAGCATATTTTGATTTAAATGATGGGCCCGTCACTTCCATCACTGTGATGAAAGTCCCTAAATTGAAACAGTGGGTATTTAATCTACACAATTAAAAACCCACCAATAAAAAGCCTACCAAATCAATTTAGAGAGAACTAAAACCCCAGCACATGCACAAATGGCCCAAGGTGCTGTAGAAACAGGGGGAGCAAACAGCTGCCCATCAGAAGCCCAGATTTATATAGGTTTTTGAAGAAGCAAGCTGCCTACCAATAATCCTTGCTGAGACAACAATACTGAAAGATCTAGCTCTCTTGAAGATGGAAGGTGATTACCCAGAGGTTGAAATGGTCATGCTGTGATTTCAGACAGTTTAACAACTAAATGTTAATGGGCTCAGGTGGCATTAATTCAAAAGTGTGTAAAAAGGGTTTTTTGCCCCATTCTCCTGTTGCTATTTTCCCCTTTTTAAAATAACTATTCAAATTTATCTCCACCACTGATTTGTCCCAAAAGACAACTATATGTCTGAATTTCAGACTGCATTGACCATTCCCATTGAAAGAGGAGTTAGGAGAATTTCTCACTTTCAGGGCAGCGGATCAGTATTTCAGGATTCTTCAATGCAGCAGGCACTCTCCCATCATTCTCTGCTGGCCGGTGATAGCGACAGTGCACAGGTAGCGTGGCTTGAAAGCAATGAGTACACCGAGGGTCCGATTTCATGTAAATGAGAACAACAAGGTCTGTGGCCAAGTATTCGGGAGCTTCCACATCAACAGCATCTGGAACTATAAGGGCCTGCAAGCAAGGGATTGGGGGGCAAGGCACAATCACAATTCAGGTGAATGAATGTTATGCAAGACACACCAGTAGCAGTACAGAGAATGAACATGCATGGGACAATCCACCTGCTGAGGGTAGCCACTAGTATGTCCTGGCAGAGTAAGAGGTCAATCATCTCACTAGAAATTCTTATTGCTCAAGGGGACAAAGAAATGGGTCTAATTCAATCTTGCTACCTCTACATACAATGGTTACATCCCCATGGTGTCTATGGATTTCAGTGGAATTACAAGCAAGAGAAATTTGGGCTGATGTTTTACATTCACTACCTTTCATATTACAGAGGTTCCAACAGAGGTTGGGACCTCACTGGGACTGTATGTTCATTTAGGAGGACAGTCCTCTTCCCAAGCACCTTACAATCAAAATGGACAAGACAAATGCATGGTGGGAGGAAGGGAGTAATGTTATCCTCATTATTAAGATGAGGCACAAAGATCAAGTGGCTTGTCAGAGATTGTATAGGGCAATTATAGCAAAGCCAAGAACAGCAAAGGTGTCTCAAACCCCAATCTATCCATCCTCAGCTGAGATGGTTTAGAAAGGAATGATTATGCCACAAGCAGCTAGATTAGATAACTTCCCAAGGTCCTTTGCCACCCTACCTTTCTGATTCTAGAGCACAACATTCCACCCTCCACAAAGGGAGTTCCATCTCAAAGGATTTCAAATACCCTATACATTTCATCTCATCCATGTGCTTAAATTCCTTGTTTTCCACACAATCCTGGATGAAGAACTCAGCAGTTGGCATGTGCGAATAGAGAACTATTTGATTTGGGTTCAGATTTGGCTGATTCAGATGTCAGTGATTCGTTTCGGAGCTCCGAATCGGTTTCTCGCTTCAATTCAGCCAAATCGGCTCAAAAGCTTCGGAGCCAATTCAGAGATCTGGCCATAGGGTATGATGAGGAATCAATAAAATATCTATAACTTTGTTGTTTTTTGTCCAATTTAGATGAAACATGCGGGGTGGTAGCCTCTGCGGAGCGCATGAAGCCTGTATGGTGCCGGTTGTTCCTCCCCAGGTGCATCACTTTCATAGTTTCATAGTTTCTAGGGTCGGAAGGG